CTGTAACCAGGTGCCACAGGTGGGCTGATAAACCCCAGGCATTTGTTCTCATGTCTGGAGGCTGGGGTCCAGGATCAGGCGCCAGCACCGTCAGGCTCTGTGAGGGCCTCCTCTGGGCTGCAGATGGCCACCCTCGCCTGTGTCCTCTTGGGGCGGAAGGGGCGAGGGAGCTCTCTGGCCTCTTTTTATAAGGGCGCTAACCCCATTCCTGAGGGCTCCACCCTTATGACCTATCACCTCCTAACACCATCACCTTGGGGGTAGGATTTCAATGTTTGAATTTGGGGGGATGCAGACATCAGTCCATTTTTAACACTGCCTCGCTGTGGGCAGTGCTGAGCTAGCAGCTATAGGGCATGGGAAGCAGTGCATGAGGACACTCACTGCCGAGGCACCTGCTGCCGGGCCCCACGAAGCAGGGCAGGGGTGTGGCCTTCTTGCACCCTCACAACAGCCCCACCCCATCTCACAGGGAAGCTGAGGCTCCCAGGACCCCCGTCTGCTAAGCATGACTCCTAGGGGGTCTGGGCTGAACGAGAAGTAGGCAGAAACAGGAGGCAGTCTGCTTCTTGGGGTCCCCGGGCTCCAAGCCCACTCGTTCCCCCTCTACCCCTGACCCCACACAGTGCGGAAGAGCAGAGCAGAGCTGTGGTCACTCTAGCTGCCTACAGAGGGGCATGCAGGCCAGTGTGGATGCGGCTCTGAACTGGGAGGGTGTGGGGCAGAAGGCTGAGCCTGTGGGCCAGCACGCTGCTGGACCAGGCTGGAGGAGGGAACCAGTCGGATGAGACCTGTGGGTGCTGCCCAGAGCATGGAGGTTGGGACAGTGTGGAGCCCTGGGGTTCTCGGCTCAACATTGAAATGCTGACAGGTTTTACCAGGCATGTGTTCTGCTCCAAAAAGGGGCCGGTCTGTGGATGTGCACCTGTCCACTCCAGGAACTGCATCTGGCCAGAATCAGGGTTTCAGTCCAGCCTCCTCTGGGGCCCTTGGTTTCTCTCTCAGTCACACTGGATGGCAGAAGTCCTGTACCCAAACCCCTGGACAGCCCCATGCATCCACATCCAGTGCATCCCACATCCTGGCCTCACCTGTCCTGGCTCACCTGTCCTGACTGCTGAAGAGTTGGCTTCACCTGAACTGGAAGCAAAGTGGGTGCCACCTTCTGGGCATCACAGCACCATCCAGAGGCAGGGATGGGGGAGTCCTCCGGTCTCTCCTCCACCAGGAGCACTTGGCATCTCTCATTGGCCACATGGCTGCATGTGTGGCATCTTCACAGGGACATCCACTGTCTCCTTGATAATTCTTCAACCTCTCTCTGATCCAAACCAACCTTTTCAGGGATGCAAGAAATCATGAAGTGGGAGAAAGGCTGGTTCTGGTTAATTCTACATCTAGTTGGTGGTGAGCTTGGACTGGGCAGTGAGAATCTCAAGTGTGGCTGAAGTTCTGGGGGCTGTTGGGCGACTCAGTGAGGGAGGGAGCTGTAAGGACAGAGGCCGGCCCAGGCTTCTGTGAGGATTCAGGGTGAGTTGCGTGAGCCGGGGAGTCCTGAACATTTCTCCAAGTGGGCAGTCCCAGCCTCTTCTTCCTGCCATGCGGCTCTGGGCTGTCTGATAGAATCAGATGCCAAATGCCAGCCCAGGCTCTACCCAGGGTGAGGACCACTTCTGCGGGACCAGGGGTCTTCGAGGCCCCCTAACCTCTCACCTGCCCCTCAGAGGCCAGGCTGGGGTGGAGGAGGACTGGGGTGGGGCCAATCCTGGTGGCTTGGCCTCCTCTCTGCATACAGGGCAGGGCCAGCAGGTGGGGACAGTGGGTCACGAGGGGCCCGGGGCGCTTGGACGTGGATGGGCCTCTCAATCCCCGCCTGGCCTTGCAGGGAGCTCCTTGTGCCCTGGGCCTTGGGGCACCTCTTGTCTCTGGAATGTCCCTCCTTGCCACCTCCTCACCAAGCCATGGGGGACCACCGAGACTCTCTCCACACCTTCACCAACTCCCCAAAAGGACACCCCCGTACCTGCTCCTTGCCAGCCTTTCTCCCTGACCTGTTACCACAAAAAATCAGGTACAGATCAAAGGGTGGACACCAGGAACCACAGAGGTGGGCTTGTCCCTGTCACAGAGGAGACCTGGCACAGAGAGGCCCAGGGCACGCCCCGTGGTGGGGCTGTGTCTGACTGCAGGGGCCTCCCAGAGGTGGCGGCCCCTCCCACTGCCCTCTCCAGTGGGCTCCCTCCCAGGTCAGACACTCAGTGAGAGGAGTAGGAGTCCAGGGAGAAGGGAGGAGGGTACCCCAGGAGAAAACCCTGAGACTGCAGCAGACTCAGTGTAGAGCTGAGGGAGAGCTGCTGGAGGGGCCCTGGGGGCTCCTCTGCCTCCTGAGATGCCCCCCCCATGGCCCTGTGGCTGTGTCATCGCCTTCATCCACGGGTAAGAGGAATGACCTGGTGAGCCCCCAGACCCTGGCTGTGCGCCCCACTCTACTGGAGTTGGTCACCCGTTTCAGCATCCTGAGACCCCTGAATTGAGGGACCTGGGAATTGAGGGGGCCGGCGCCTTCAGCTCAGATGGATTTTCCGGAAAGCCGCCCCCACCGCTGCTCGGCCCTGCAGGACGGTCTCCCGGCGCGTTCGGTTTCCCCGGCTTGCCACAGGCCTGGGGGTGGGGCACGCCGGCCGCCCTGCTCGCACGCGAGGCCCTGGCCAGGGTCCAGGCGGCTGTCACTGCGGCTGAGGCCCCATCGCGTGACAGGAGCCCCGCCGGGCGTGCCCGCCGGAATGCGGCTGCGGAGGAGGGAAGTGGGGGTGCGGGGGCACGCGATGCTGGGGCGCCAGTGTCCGGGTGCAGGGACCTGTCGGGGAGGGGAGAGAAGTTAAAAGGGGGTCCAGGGACACGATGCTGGGGGGCGGGTGTCTGGGTGCAGACGGGAGAGAAGTTAGGAGGGGCTGCCCCCGCCTTGTACCTCCAGTAAGTGCGGGCGGGGCGTGCCCGGCGCCTCCCGCCCACCAGCGCTGCCCCTGCGTGGGCCGCGCATCTGAGAGCGAACAGTGCGCATCACAGGGGTTGGGGCAGCGTCCACGGTCACATCACCCCCCGTCGCAGTCTCACAGGCATCGGCTCAGCATCCCCCGCCCACAGGATCTGCAGGGGGCGAGGACAGGAAGGCGGGGACAGTGCAGCCCCAACCACCCCCCTTCCCTCAATTCCAGGACGTGTTGGGGGCTTGGGGTGGGGAGCCGGCTGGAGCTGGGGCGGGAATGGGCGACCTCTGCAATGGAGTTTGCTGGGCGGGGAGCCTTGGTGGTCTGGGTCTGTGGGCAGGCAACCCCGAGTGCATCGAGGTGGGGGGCCTGCCCCTGACCCCCGGCATCGCTGCTGTGCTTCGCTGAGCCCCATATCCCCCTCAGGCGCTGCTCAGGTTCCGGCCCCCTCCCACCCGGTCCAGCGCCGTGCCCTGTGGAGACAGCAGCAGGGCAGGACCCTCGGGTTGGGGGGGAAGCCGGCCTGGCCCCTGTGACGTCACTGTGGGGCTGCAGGGGGGGTTTGGAGGGGGAGAGGGGGGAGAGGGAAGGGGGGGAGTGGAGGACATGACTGTGCCAGAGGCTCACAGGTCCGTGCTTTTCTCCTGTATCTCACTCAGCCTCCAGGAGCTCAGGACCCTGTGGGGCCCTCTGTCAGCACCCCCTCAGCCTTTGGGACACTCTGAGACCGGAAAGTTCCGGGGCCTGGTGCCCTTGCTTCCCCTGGTCTGTTTGCGGCTCCTGCACTCTGGGAAGAGAGAGCTTCCCTCCACCTCTGAATATAGGGAGTGCAGCACGAAAGGGATTGAAAGTAACCCTCTACTTGTCCCGCTTGTGACTGCTCCCGGCTCAGCTCCACTGTCTTGAAAACCAGGAATGGGGGGTGGTTTCCCTAGGAGGGCAGGGTGCCCCTCTCCGGGGATCCCAGGAGTGACGTTCCTGCCTCCTGGAATGCACCTGCCTTCCGCCTGGAGGGAGGCAGCAGGCCCACTGGTCAGGGAACATCACCTGCTGTCTCATCCCTAGCCCACGGCTCTCACAGGTGCTCTGGCCACTGCCCTTGGGCCCTCTGACCCATGGTTGCACTGAGGTCACCTGGAGCTTCAGTTCTCGGATTCCAGAAACAAGGGGAAGTTGTGAAGCACGCCCCACCCTCAGCCCTCCACAGGCGAGGCAGTGAGGCCCCCTTGCCCCCGTCCTCTCAGCAGCCCCTGGGTTGATTCCCGGGTGCTGACGAGGACACTGTAAGAGGCATTGGGGGTCCCACAACCAGTGCTGCAAGCTGGCATGTGAACGTCTGTCTGTCTGACCTGCACGTCTGTGTGTCTGAGCTCTTCAGCCCAGTGTGGAGATGAAGCCAGCCTGGGTGTGGGGATGGAGAGGTGCCAGGAAAACCCCTTCTTCAGGGGGCTGTCGGCATCTCAGGGCAGGTGGCTGTGCGGGCCTTCCTCCTTCTCCAGCATCAGCGCAGTAGTGGGCACCCTGGGGTGTGGGCTGCTCCATACGGGAAGCGGGGAGTTGACGGGCGGCTCCAGGACGGACAGACAGGTGTGGTCAGGGTGGGCAGGACTCCCAGGGGCCTTAAGACTCACCCAGACCCACAACGCTGTGATTGGAGACCCACCTGCACATGGGTCTCTGAAGAGACGCTGTGGGGACCCCTGGGGGTTCCCCGAGGCCTGGCAGGTTCTGAGGGGCTTGTGGGAGGGGCAGAGGGCAGTTTCAGGGAGCTCTGTGGGCTCATCTCCCGAATGTCACACACGGGGCTCTCCCCTGTTGCCCCGCCCCACCCACCCTGGGAGGCCGAGCTGCCCCAGTGCGTCCGTTCAGGTGGCGAGGAGATCACACATCAGCGTGGAACTCGGCTTTGCCCGCAAAGGGTGGCAGCCAAGAACCGTGGGCTGAGAGCTGGGGAGACACGAGGCAAGTGTGACTGTGCCCGGGAGCCTGCTCACGTGCCTTGTTTTCTGACAGCCCTGCAGGAGAAGTGCCCGTGGCAGCCGGCGGCTGGTGCCCCCTTGCCAGGAGACGGCGGTCTGCACGAAGGGTCCTCGGTGCTGGAGGGACGGCTGCTGCTGGAGGTGAGCCCCCCTTGCCCTGCGAGCACCCAGTGTGGGGTGTGCAGGCCACCCCCCGTCTTTGAGCCCTTTGATTGTGACTGTTTATGTGCACTAGGAGTTCAGGCTCTAAGAAGCATTGAGGGAGGGGACAGGACTGCCCTGGGTGGGACAGCAGGTACTCCCGGTGAAGTCCAGCAGGTTGGGACATAGAGAGCCAGCTGATGACCCCCAGGCCCACGGGGTTCAGATCTGAAATTTGTTTTTCATTCTGCATTTTCTGGTTTTACTTGTCAGTAGGAGAAGGTAATAAAAAATTAAGCAAGGTTTTTTTTTTCAAATTGAAAACAGAAAATTGTGCATTAAGCTTCTCAGGGTCTGGCGGGCTTGCCTGGCCCATGGGTTTGTTGACATCACACATGCTGGATGTCACCAGCTGGGTTGGCTTTTGCACCTGAGACAAATACCCCACCCCTGGGACTCTGAACTGCTTCCCCTGACCTCTCTTGTGGGCCTGTGACCTGGCGACACGGGACAGCTGTGGGTCAGTGTGTTAAGCAAGATAAGACGGCCAAGTAGAGCTTTCTGGTTGATCAAGTTGCTGTTTCACAAAGTGAGGGTTTGCTGCCAAGAGACCCCGAGATGCAGGCCATCCGAGGGTGGGAGGCGGAGGGAGAGGAGCCTCTGTCAGCTGCTCGTAACCAGCAGCCGAGGCCCTCTGACTGCACAGCAGCCCCTGCAGACGGCTTCTCTGCACCCCAGCCTGCTCCCTGGCAGCCAGAGGACCTGTCCCAGGCAGATCCTGAAGGGAAGCCCCAGTCCTGGCTGCTGCCAGCCTGTCTGTCCCTCGTGGCCGGCCCCCTGCAGGGCCCCTTCCCTGCCTCGTGCCCAATGACTGGAATTATCTCAGTGTCTCCTCTACGTACCCCTCGCACCTGCACCCCTGAGGGCTGCCCCTCCCGCTCAGCCCAGGGCCCTCCCTCGCTGCTCGGCTCCATCCTCTTGGCTGCTTCCTTGGTGCGCCTGTTCACGGGGTCCTGCACGTTCAGTTGTTCAACCAGCGTGACCCTCTGATCATCTCAGGCCTTGAAATCTGTCACCGTCTCTGGTCTGCACTCTCTGTGCTGCCCACACTGGGTCTCATGGTGACGGCAGGAGAGGGACTGCTGAGCCCACCAGCGAGCAGACCCCCTCCCCCTCTTCACTTGCAACTTTTTATTAGAAATTTTGAACCTTACAAAGAAGAGAGGATGGAGTAATGATCTCCAGGGACCAGTGGCCCTGCCTCGCAGTAGTGAGCTTTGGCCAACTTGTTCCTCCTCTCGTCCCTCTCCCCACCCTGCCTCTGCCTTCACCAGGCCCCCCCTCACCCCCAAATCCCCCTGCCCCCCAGTGCTTGTCTTGCTTCAGTCGTCTCAGGTCCCCAGTTCCCCTTGCCCCGTGACTTCTTGTCCCTCTGACTCCCTTGACTCATGCTGCACCTTTTCATCCGTTGTCTGTGACCTGCGCCCAGCTCTTTGAGCCCACCCATTTCTGAGCACCTAGGTGGGTGGCCAAGCACAGTGGGGCCCCGTAAGAGTGACAGGTGGACAGATAGACACATAGACAGATGGGTGGAAAGCATTGAGATGGATTTCAGGAGAGAGGGAGGTGATTGCAGCATAGGATTTGGAGGTGCTGGCTCTAGACAGAGCTGGGCAGTGCTGTGTTCCACCTGCCCGCCATGGATCCCCATGACCCCAGTGACCCCCATGGTCCCCACAGGGACCCCATGGCCCTCCGTGACTCCCTGTGATCCTCACAACCCCTCTGACCCTGCATGGCCCCCTCATGGCCCCCCGTGACCCTCCATGACTCCGTAAGATTCCACATGGACACCCCATGACCCTCTACAGCCCTCACAGGGACCCCACAAACCCTCATGGCCTCCCACTACTCCCCATGGTCCCTATGACCCCCACATGACCCCTATGACCACCACGGCCCCCAAGGCCTCTGCCCTTGCTGAGGAGTTTGATGTACTCTCATGAGGATCAATTAATTTATAAATCATTTCCTTTTAAAAAAAATACGTGAGGAAGTACATTTTGTGCTCGCTGGTTTGTGTTTAATCTCATGGAAACCCTCAGTGTGACAGCCACTGGGGGCTCCTGCCTCAGAGCAGGTGCAGGTCTCGCTTCGCCCCGTCTGGAGTGGAGCATGGGCGTCACAGCGCTCTGGGAAACCCTGTGTATTCAGCAGAGGAAGTAGTCCACACTTCATCTTTTACCAGGTCTTTACAAAGCAGATTCTTAAATATTCTTTTTCCTTTAAAATTGCTTTTTCCTGTCGGTGCTGGTAAAACGGAGCTGGAAAATGTGTGCCAGTTTGAATTTTACTCTTGGCAAAAGGTAACTGTGTTGCTCTTTTTCTTATTCGTGTTCCAAATTAAGATCATAACTTCTTAATCATAAAGTCTTAGTCATAAGATCTTTCTTAAACTTTTGTTCTGAGCTGTGGGTTGGAAGCATATGTACAGGGTGCCCGACCCACCTCTGCTCAGAGCTCAGGGGCTGCTTCACCCGCATCCTCCTCCCGCCCGCCAGGTCCCAGCCCGCGAGGCCGGTGTTGCAGAGCCGCACACCTCGGAGGCAACCCTGCCTGCACGGGGCGCCCTTCTGCGCATTTCTGCTCATGGACCGCATCTTCCCTGGGGCCTCAGGACATGAATGGTGGTCCTGGCTGAGGCTGCAGCCCAGGAAATGACCAGGCCTGACTCCTGGGGCCTGGGAAGAGGGGAGGGCAGCGCCCCAGCCAGGTCATCTGCCCTGATTTCTGTGTCTGCTGCCCAGCATACGGTGTCCCTGGAGCTACCCTCCGCTGGGACTTTCTGAGGAAGAGGCCCACGCCTGAGGGCTTGGGTCTGCTCCTGGTTCAGCAGGCTGTCATGCTGCCCAGCTGCCCGCCCGGCTCCTCGCCAGGCTGCGTGGTGCCCCCACCCCCGACTCCACCCGCAGAGCCTGAAGCCTCGTTCCACTGCCTCTTGTTCAGCATGCTCTGTGGCCCAGGAAGTCTCTGGAAGATTCCTTTGACTGGAATCGTGGGGGTTATAAGGTGAGCGTCTCTTGCACAGCATTTCCAGTGTGGCGATTCCCAAACTTTGTGGTTAGAGACTCTTTTTGAAGTTTAAAAATATTCCCAAACAGCAAAATAATCAAATCAAGTAGCAATAACAAGAAAACCCCAGCTTTTATTTCCAATCTTCAATCTCTTGAAGATAAAGTGGGAAAAAGGAGAGGTTTATGGCAGGACATCAGAAATTCATAGAACGTTGAGAGCTGCACAGACTTTACAGTGCCTGTGGTCCGATGTCTGTTATTGCAACTGAAGAAACCTAGCTCTGGAGCTGCTGGGGCTGGTCCAGGGGCCCAGTGGGGCTGGGGCGGGACCACCATCCGCCTTCAGTGGCTCCAGGCCCTCGGCTCCCCCTGGAAGCCAGAGCAGATGACTGAGCTGCTGTCCAGTGGGCACCTTAGTGCAGGTGCTGGGAACAGAGGTGACAGAGGAGGCATGGGGGGTGGGAGACTGGGGGAGAGGAGGAAAGACTGTCTAGAGAAGAAACCAGCAGACGGATGGGGCGGGACGAGATGGAAGGTTCTGGAAGCACACTTGTCAGATGTGCAGGGAGAGTGGTGCCCCAGGCTTTATTTCTACCTTTAAGGTGGCTGTAAGGTGTGGCATTTAGTGCGGACGGGCAACCTGCTCGCAGGGGCCATCAACCTTGGTCCGCTGGGGGCGAGCAGGAAGCCCCCGACCCTTGACCCAGCTGGAGTTCAGGTGTGCTGTGGCCGCACTGGGGCTGCACCGTAACCTTTCTTACACTTATTCTTAAGTTTATGCATGCTAAAATTCGTTCTTTTTGGTGGCATGGTGTGACCACGACTGTGGTCAAGATACAAAACAATTCCACCGCCCCAGATTTTGCTCGTGGTGCCCATTTGCAGTCAGACCCTCTCCCAGACCCCCGCCACCGCGGCTGTGTCCTCCATCTCAGAATGCCCCATAAGCAGACCCCTGCAGCACAGACCCCTTGGGGTCTGGCTGTTAACCCCTTGCTAGATGTGGCTGCACGTGGTCACCAGTGGCTCCTGTCATTCTGTGGTGCGGACGTACCTCAGTGTGCTTGCCCAGCTGACCGCTGAGGGACACTGGGGTATTTCCAGGATTTGGTGTTTGTGAATAAAGCTGTGGTCATCAGTCACGGGTAGGTTTTTCTCTGAACATAGACTTTTGTTTCGTTTCGATAGAACCTACGTGTGTGACGGCTGGATGGTAGAGTAAGTGTGTTCTGACTTTCTAAGAAGCTGCCACACTGTGGCTGTGCCATGTCACGTCCCCCGCAGCAGGGAACGGGGTTCCAGTGGCTCCACATCCTTGGTACCGCACAGCGTGACCTGTGTTCAAAGCCACTTCTTTCGGCAGACATGGAGCCTCATTACTGCTTTGATTTGCATTTCCCTTACGACTAAGGATGCTGAGCATCTTTCCTTGTGTCTTTACCTGCCATCCACAGATCCCCTTTGTGAACTGTCTGTTGATTTAAAAACGTCGGCTGTTTGCTTTCTTACTCTGAGGTTAGAGTTCTTCGTGTGTCTTGTGCGTGTGTCCTTTGCAGGATGCATGGTTTGTAAATATTTCTCCCAGTCTGTGGCTTGTCTTTTCATTCTCTTGACAAGAGCTTGCAGGAGCAAAACTATTTAATTTTGGTGAAATCCAATTTATCTATTTTTTAATAGATCATGATTTGGGCGTCACATCTAAAAACTCAGAAATCAAGTAGCGTGAACCTTACAGTTTTTGTTCTTTTTCCAAATTGCTTTGGCTATTTTAGCTCCTGTCTTTCCATATAGATTTTACAATTAGCTTGTTGATATCTACAAAAATTCCTGCTGGGATGTTCATTGAGATCGTGTTAAACCGTAGGTGAGGTTGGGGGAAACTAACAGCCAGACAGTGCTGACTCTCCCAATTTGTGAGCACAGTCT